GCTGTGGTTCATGTGTTTTTCACAAGCAGTGCTTCCCTGCGGCTTCACTCTGAACTCATCCGGAGCTGCTGGTCCATTTACCGGTTGAACAGCAACGCTGCAGATTAAATTTGTCTGCAGCATGATGTTAGTCCCGTCCGCTGTGCTTAGCTAAACCCGGCTGGAGGAACGACTCAGGGCAACAGGAATTAGCAAAGGTCACACATTCTGTTGGCTTTTTGAAACCTGTAAAGCTAAACAAAATCATTGCCATAGCTAATTATGGCATAATAAAATAATATTGCTATTCCAGGCCTGTGTTTAAATACTAGAAGTAATTTAAATAAGTAATATAATTGCACATTAAAACATATATTGTAAAGATGGAGACAAGGGTGCAGTGCCAAGGTAACCAAGGAAACCATGCTTTAATCACAATACATGTATCCAAAATACAGTCCGGAACCCGGGTCAGAGACAGCCTAAAGTCAAAAACCAGAACAGAACAAAGACACAAAAACAGAATCCAAGAATCTAAGTTGTAAAACAAAGGTTGATATACACAGGTCAATTAACCAACATAATCGTACTAGGAATGCTTGTTAGGGAGCAAACTCACTATTACCATAAAAGCTGATTGGCACATTTATAAACATACTGGGCAGTTAGTTACAAGGTGATCAAGACTCCAGTGAAGCTGATCAGAGAATGTTAACTTGGTTTTGGGAAGATCTTGGCTGGCTCCTGGTTCTGGTTCTGTGTTCCATTACATACCAGTATATGCTATACTTTGGTATAACTTTGGTTTCTGCTCTTGTTCTGAGGGTCTGAAGTTGTCTGTGATAATATAAGGATGTATAATGAATGATTATCGATGATACTGATTGCGATGATTGTGTCCAAATACCCATTTTCCCCGATTGTGGATATGATAGAGAAAGCTTGGGCTATCTTTCCATTTTGTACTGAAAATGGGCAAACAGTTTGGGAACAAAGTCTAGAAACACATCATTCATCATATTTGTCCTCAGTCCTTAGTTCTGAAACGTTATACATACCATTTGTCCATATTCACCTCCTCCACCTCCTCCCCTTATATACATTTCTGTGCCCAGTAGACTTTGTTTTCCTTAAAAAAAAAAAAAAAAGCTGTAGGTTGAAAAAATGTCAACAATTTGTAAATATTACTGATAGAGGTTTAACAGTCTTAATAGCATGGTTTAGTGTTTCTGAAGCGATGCAGGTACTGAGAGCCTGTGCATCCTTTTCACTCACTTGCAGAGCTGTAGTATTGTATACTTCCACACAAGATCAGAAAGGCACTAACCTTAATCTGCTCTCTGATATATGTTTGCTGCCTTAGTATAAATGGAATATTCCTGACATAGAGCTTTTGTTTATACAGTATGTGGGAGCTGTAGGCCTGCTGAGACCTCTTTTCTGTTGTTTACTGAGAGCTAATTTGTTCATTAGCTAGAGATCACACCTGCGATTGTGTGAATCCCAGGAAAACTTTGCTTGTTGAAGTTCTGAGATTAGTGGGTTAAGGTGCTTACTATGTGCTTATGGCATTTACAAAATATATCAAATATTTCTGAATAAAAAGTGAAAAGATACTCCAAGTATGATTAGTAAATCTGGCGTCCAAACCAAGATGAATTTAAGTTGGACACTTGAGTTTTGCAGCTCCTGTCCTGTACATCTGCGTTTTGCCACAACTTCTGTTTGTGCCGCATACAGTAAAGTTGCTTTAGAGTGAAATGTACGTATAACTAATAAATGTATAAATTGAGCGATCGGCACCAGGCCATTCAAAGGACTGGTTCAGTCACAAAAAAGTTCAGAAGAAGCCGTGTAAAGAGCCAGCTAACCAAAGCAGGGGAACAAGAAGAATGAAAGAACAAATAAGTCTGTGGATAGCGCAGGTGAGAGCTAAAGATTAATTTAGCCAGAAAACAATCCAGAGCGGAGTGAGACAAACACACAATATTCACACAGCACAATATTTGTGGGGTTTTTGTGGAGGGCAATAGTGCTTGTGATAACTGGCCTGAAATGGGAGGTTGGGAACTGGCAAACTGGTAGGTGCTGCTCGGAGTGTTGGATGGTGGGAGAGGCGATGTCTGAGCCTTGGGTAGTGGTGTTTGGTTGGGTGTGTGATAGTAGTGGGTGAGTTTGTGTGCATTCAACCAAATCACTCCTAATAATACAGTAAATCCGCAGCTTTTTCAGGCACGTTAATCTTGGTTTTGCTTCCATCAGATGTCAAGTTGTTGGCCTCAATATGAGAAGCACACGGCCACACACACAGTATATGTATACGTACATGCACTATGTGCTAGAAAGCATCCAGTGAAGCGGTTGAAAGAGCCCTTCCTACAGTTGTCATGGAAACTTTTAAAGTGAAATTCCAGTACAGTATTTAAAATGGTTTCCTTCCTCCCTCTTTCTCTTTTTTAGTTTCAGATGATGTGATGTCTCCCAAGGGATACCCGAGTGGATTTAATTACAGTGGAGTTTGATGTGGAGAAGCCCAGTTTAACTCTTACCTCGCTAAAATCTCACATGTGCGGAAAATTGCAGCCCTGTAGATGATCTGCTAGTAGGATATGCTGGAGTGCCAGGAAGTAACAATGGGATCACAGACCATGTAAACTGACAGGAAAATAGTACCAACCCACACGTCCTTTGCAGACTGTTTTCCATGAAATGCAAATTGTAAGAGCTGGCTTAAATGCTCTTGAACGCCTTGCCTTTTTCGCATTACAAATTCATCTACGTGAATAAGCAAATCGTGTGTTTTGAATGGTTTCTGTTTTTTTGTGCAGTGCCACATGCATCACTACAGGGGTTGCAGGGATACTCTGGCCTCTGTTTGTTTGTTGTTTATGACTCATGTTCATCATTATCTGATTTGTTATGTGAGTCTTTATTTCTCAGCTCAGGAAGTTCAGTACAAATATTATGGAACTTTTCATTCAGAAGAAGCGCAGCGTGCTGAATGGCCAGGTGGTCACCACCGTATGGCCAACCAACAGCCTGAAAAGTAAACAGTGTATAAAAATGCACACAGTACATCGCTCCCTTCCCAGGGATAATATGGATTTTTAGTTGGCAGAATGATTTGGAATCATTAGCAGCCTTCTGTTGAGGCTCTTATTATTTTTGTTGAAAGTGTGATTTTAAGATGCTTTATTTACATCTCTGCAGTAATATCTTTGCAAACAGAGTATTAGATAATCAAAATGCGTTTATCAGAGTTTTGCAACAGGAAATGGGAACAGTGTAAAGTGTTTGGAGGTCCAAGGTGCCCCAGGAAATGGCATATTTCTCATCTTCTATAGGACATACAGCAATTTGGGGAAGGACAGTTGAATATTTAATCTCTAAGTGAAGTAAAACTTTATGTTAAATTAGCCTTAAGACTGTGCTATCCACCACTCCTATATCATTTATGTTAAAAATCTATGATCTAAAGCAGTTATAAACCGGTCTGCCTGGCTGTTTGACCTCATTGTCATGTATCTGTGTTAACAGTACAGCAGCCACTTGGACTGTCTTTTCCTGTGCCTATCTAGATTTTACATACTTGACAATGAGAGCTTCATTGGAGCTTATGAAGTATTATAGTCAACGCTATAATGCTTTATAACTGTCAATAGAAGATGCTATAATGCTTTCTAAATACTTATGCTGACTGTTATAACGCATTATGGATGGCAGCTGTAGGTAAAGTGCTACCATATATATTTTATTGTCTGCTCAGCCATAGCTGAATCTTGGTCTCTTGTCATCGACCTGTTTTCTATTACACCTCTACTGTCTGTCACACCCCCTTCACAAACCCCACACCAATCTGCAAATTAAGATAAATATTTAATATGACAGGATGTCTGTAATCCTTTGACCAGGTTGAGGGGTTAAAAGATGATTAGATGAATGGATGGAATAAAGCATGTACAGTCTAAGCAATCGATGTGGATTAGAATAATTGTAACAGAACGCCATGGTGATACACTGATTACGCATTGCTTGTTCTCATAGCTAGCTCTGTTTTCATGAAAGTAGACCACATTGCATTTTAACTCCCTTTCATTTACAGATCAGCCTTTCTTACAAGAAACACAATAAATGTATAAAGCTGGAATTGCTTTTCCTCCAAAGCTTTGTTGGAACTCCAAAATAGTCACACATTTGTTGTTGTTGTAATTATTGTTGCTGTTTTGCCAGCCATGGTTGGAGTTCTTTGCCCAGTCTGAGGTGCGGTGAGGTTTGTAATCTCCGTCGCCAAGGTATTTCTGCAAACAGATCTTCTTCATTCATTGCTTTGATGGGATAACGTGAAATAAAGAGGAAGGCGATTGTTCCTAAGCACACTATGCTCACCAATACTGTCACTTTCAGTGCTGGCCCCTCTTCTGAGAACTAATCTCTTCACAATTGGTTCATTTATTCCAGATAAGTCTGGTTGCATTTCTGTAAACATAGACAGCAATGCAGCGTAAACAGATATGGTGTTAAATGATGAAGAATGGACAAACCCATAAAATGCCGGAGTTTTTTTTTAACCTGACGTGTTGAACTTTACCTTCCCCCTGTACAGTGTTATTAATGGGATTCTCCACGTAAATCTCTACTTTATAAGACTGGGAGCCTTTTGGTGGGAGCTGCTTCTTCACTGTAATGAAAGTGAGTTTGGAAAAGCTGTTCTGTCTGTATGGTAACACTTCCGCATAACCAGGGATAAATAGTCGGCATCCTAGCAGGGCCCAGATTGCAAATGCAGGGACATAAATTCTTTTATATACAGTAGTGGTCTTTGCCATACATACATGAAAGTCCCTTCATGACACGCTGCTATCTTCCATGTATAGTGACTCACATCTAAAATTACTTATAAACTGACGTATTGCAGTCTAAGAAGTCTGAGCGCCTGATTAGGTTATGTAAAGAACGGGGTTTGCCAGCTCGCGAAGCTTTTATAAAACGTGAAAATGAAGCGAAGCAATAAAACTCAGCGGTCTAATCATCTGGGACCTTTATTGTTGTTATCTTATTGTTACTAAAACACAATACTCAAATAACAAGTGGATAAATTAACGAGATAATGTAAGCACAAAAAGGGCAAGAAACACAGGATGATTAAGCTTACAAAATAAATAAGTGAAAAATTTCAATAGGAGATTGTAACTCAGACCAAGGTAATTAAATTAGCATATTGATATCTTAAGCACATTTATATTATTTTCTTTTATTTCAAGTTTTAAAAATAAACAACCTATTTACTATCATTTTGCTATTTTCACAAAGGAGTGTGAGGGTGGGAGGCAGAGGCCTGATTGTGCTTTGAAAGGTGTCTTTAGACCGACCAATGGAGAGATCAGCACATGCAATTGGTTACAGCACAGTTAGAGAGATCCGGCCCGAGGACGGGGCTGTCACAGTAGGGACTCCTTGCAGAGCACGATTTCCAGCTCGGTGCGGTACAGCCGTCCTCTGTCAGACAGGGTCATGATGCTCTTCTTGTATTCCATCATGCTATTGGCATCTATTTCCTGATGAAACGCAAGGGGAAGCAGGAGAACTGAGTCAGTTTGCTTTCCTGTACTCTCGCCAAGAGGAAAACTCTTGCTATTCAACGACATGGATAACTAGAATTTGCCTGGTTAGTTACTGATTAACTGCCCATGAGCTGCTGACTAACTGCCCATGAGCTGCTGACTAACTGTCCATGAGCTGCTGACTAACTGCCCATGAGCTGCTGACTAACTGCCCATGAGCTGCTGACTAACTGCCCATGAGCTGCTGACTAACTGCCCATGAGCTGCTGACTAACTGTCCATGAGCTGCTGACTAACTGCCCATGAGCTGCTGACTAACTGTCCATGAGCTGCTGACTAACTGCTGACTAACTATTAAGAACTTGCTGGTGGGATTACAGCCCCAGTAAAGCCCCAGTGCACCATGCTCATGGAGCAAAGGTCAGTTCCATCTGATACCTTGTTGTTCTTCTCATAAAGGTCTTTCAGCAAAGCATCCAGTTCCTGTTCATCAATGTAGCCATTTCCATCCTGTCAAAATAAAACACCCATAAGTTCAATCTTATTTATTCCCTTTATTATATTAGGCTCTGGAAAAAATTAAGAGATCACTATATATTTTTTAAAAATCCACTTTTTTAAATCCTGGTTTAACCCTGGTTCTGCTGGCAGAAGGCTACACTGCACAGCAGGCTGCTTTCAGGCTCAAAGTTTGTAAGACAGCAGTACATGAGAGCAAGGTGAAGCAGGAGACACTGGGAACGACCAAAAACCAGCCAGGTAGAGGGCAGAAGAAACTTTCTAATGCCAGAGATGAGTGTCAACTTATCTGGCAGTGCCTCATAAATCAGAGGATGACCTCAAGTGACCTTCACACCACATAATTCATTTCCTATTCATTTTGAAGTGCACTACTATGACAATTCATAACAGGCTCCAAGAAGCAGGACTAAAGTGCCATAAAGCAAGGAAGAAGGAATAAGTCCAGTTTGACATGACATGTACATCAGTTTTAGGCTTTAACTACACATCTGAACAGTATGTCTGTTATTTACCTTGTCATAGTACGTGAAGATGGCATTGAACTGGTCAGAGTTCAACTTGACACCCTGTTAACAGATTTGGTGGAACATTTTAACGCAATTTGAACTGAAATTCAAACTGCATATTATATGTACTATGAAAATTGCAGCTCTCTTTTGTTTGTCAAAATACACCGTAAAAATCTCTTTTCACTTCGATGTTATTGAGAAGGCAGATCTGTTCAGCATTGGGTATTTCTAAAAGTCATATTTCTGTAATTATATTTATTTTGAAGAGTAATGTCATTACCTTGAACTTGAGTAGGAAATTTTCTTGAACAGGTAGCAGCCTAAAGTGACAACAGAAAAAACACCATGCTGGTTGGTATGGAAGGCGTCATGTGACAAGGCGAGTCATGTCCGATCCCATCATTCATTGGTTCAGGAGGATCTGTCACCCACCTGGACATCTCAGATAGGCCCAGCTTCCCGTCACCATTCAAGTCGAACATCTTCAGCTAGAGAGAATGACTTTCATCATTAAGTAGGCAGGTGCCCACCTGAGAAGGCAGATATTACTCATGATAACAGCAGCCTGCCACCTCTAATAGTGGTGGGGGGGTTATAAAAGAAACAAATAGTGACACTTTATTGATCCCTGTGGGGAAAATGGGGGATTTTCACACATCCCATCTTGCATCCCTGGAGGAGTTAGGGTTAAGAATCTTGCTGTAGGGCCCAGTGGTGATACCATAGTGCATACTAGATACCATACTAGAAAAAAAAATCTAAATTCAACCCTCCCCTTACTGTACCATCCCACATTACAGCAGATTTTTGCCGTGGTGACATAAAAATCCGAGGTCAGCGTATGTCCAGAGTCCAGATACATGACGTGCCCATCAGTATATAATACTAGAGTGACAAAACATACCAGCATGAATACTCACTATTGTTTGGGTGTACTCGTTCAGCTTCTGGTCGTCGTAGTACCGATTGGCCTTCCTCAGCAGGTCTGAGAGGAACCCCTGTAACAGGCAGTGATATCAGTTCTGGCACTCTCTTCCTATATGCTAGTGGTGTAATGGTTCTGAAACTGAGACCAAAGCTGTGACACAAACTTTCACAATCTCATGTCAATATCCAGCCAAACCAACTGTCCCCCCCCCAATCCCCTCCCCCCAACCCGTGGGGGCCGCATGTTCAGCTCTCATTACATTACAACGTTACAATGTTACAAAACTCATTTTTCATTTCACAATTAACACTATTACACATGTAAATCATCAACTTATTCTATTTATAGTTTGGGCAAGCAGTATATTTTGTAAATACTACACATTACACCTTCCAATTGTGCGTGTCATGTGACTTTTTGTGTATAATCATGATTAAGTGATCGCGCCTGCAGTAAAAGCTAGACTAGTTACATGAGCTAAAGATGGATAATAACCCAGTGATTGCAGAGCATCTGGGCACATTTAAGTCAGCAGAGTGGGAACATTCTGGTTATCCAGTAGATTACAGTAATTTATTTATCGTATTTAATTTTTTTTCCCCTACATAGTTATTATATGTGAAGTTAAGGAAATCTAACATGTTCTTGAGTGCTCTTCTGTTAGTTGGTGATTTATAAAACTCAGAATTCTTTTCCTTGTTTTCTCTTTATTCACCAGTTCCCCCATTCCCACAAAAAAAAGCGAGGTATGAATCGAACCATGAATTTGGAGAATCGTTACACGCCTACTGTATACTAATAGGCACACAGCTCATTTCCCACATACTGTCAAGTTACACAAACACAGTAACCAAGAAATGGTGAAATATCTCCCATAAGCACCCAGAGAAAAACAAAACTGAGCTTAAAAACACACGAAAATATCCTCAATGGTTCTCACATTTCCTAATAGCATCATTCATTTTTATTATATCAGAGCTTAAGTAATGTCTTCCAAATTATAATTATTTTTAATTTTTTAATTGCTAGCTGTCTGTTTTTGGGAATCGGTCTATACTGAATCACTGCCCTGCCAGTGTGCTTCAAACATATTGAGGGATTTGTATAAGCGATTTGCTTGGCTGTTGTGGAGACCTGGCTGATTTGAATTCATTTCCATTTGCCTCTTCATGTGGTCCTGAAGGATCAAAAGGCCTCTCGAAGGGAGGCCACAGCGGGCACCTAAACTTATGAAAAATGCTTAATTTCCTTTTCCAACAATATTAAATATGCCGTGAGGTGCAAAATGAATAAAAATGCTTTCATGTAGCATAGTCCCCTGGCAGCATCTAACATACATTGGTATCTGGACCCCATGCTCATTAGTGTAGCTAGAATCGCAAAATAATTAGTGCCCTGCTTCACTGTTATTTTAATGACTCCAGGTCGTCCCGTCATTCAAGACGGCAGGTCAAGACATAACTTTAACCAAGACCGAACTTTCACCAGACCGTCATCCTTCTTGGGTGCTACTTGGTCTCATCTAGGGTTTGTGTCACTGACTGGGCTGCTCATTGTGGCCTGCACTCCTATTCTGTTGATCTTTCTTAGCTAACGTGATTATGTATTTTTATGTAATTAGCATAAGCCATTATCCAATGCTTTTTTTTTTTGTGGGGGTGTGGCGGAGTGGGGTTTGACATTTCCTGGAGCAGTTGGGGTTAAAGGCCTTGCTCAAGGGCCCAACTGTGAAATTACTCTGCTGATGCTGGGATTTGAACTGGTGACCTCACTGCCCACACCGCCCCCAATTGCCTGACCTTACCTTGAGTTCATTGGCTTCAATGTATCCACTACGGTCTGTGTCATATTTCCTCCATGCCTATAGGGTGAATAAACATACAAACATTATATACAGGCCACTGGGAATTTACTGCTTGACAATGGACATATCATCGTTGTCCCATGAAAACCACGTTTGCCCACTTTTTGATAATTGTGCTTTTTTACTACAGATGGAGTATACCCATTCTCCTCTGTCTACTAACAGTCTGTCATCTGATTGAACGAAGAATTGATCTTTTATAAAGTCATATATTTAACCATTATTTAGGTTTGTACTAGTTAACAATTGCATTAATGATAGTCGTTTGTATGGATTATTTTATATCGCTAATTTTAACAATTTAACATTGGTAGCTAAACACCTAGTTATCCATATACAACATTAAATCTTTGATGTCTGTGCAAACAAAGGGTGTCTCATTACATTGTTTTACGTTTATTTTGTGAAGTAGTTTCTAAGAAAATGTGTTTTCCACACTTCTGAAATAATGGATTTTTGGAGATATGTGTTTTTAATTGGACAGCAACAATATGCTACATTTTCTGTTAAGTACTTGAGCAAACTTTGCTGTATGAGAAAGGGACTGTGTCAGAAAGGGCATTGTTTCTAACCCCACATAGATCAGATGGTTTGTGAATAATTTTTGCGGCTTCCTGTAAAATGTCTTTCCTCTTTAATTGAGAGAAGGGGAAATGTGAGAAGAATGTTTTCACACCATTCTTGAAACCTTACTTTGATGCAGATTTTGGCAAACAACTGAAAATGGACTAGGAATAAAAAATGTAACAATTACAGGGGCAGGATGTGCAATAAGGTGAGAGCCAGTTTGCAGAGGAGAGATGAAATTAAAAGAAAGATTGTTTTTCGTAAAAGATCTGACATACGTTTCCAATATTTTCCATTGACTAATGCATGCACCATAACAATAAATATATTTTCATTTTGTTTGAATCCAGCAGCTGTCCAAATTTCTGTGAGCACATATCAGTACGCCAAAGGGAATCCAGCTCTCCTTGGATTTGTGAAAAATTGAGGCATCAATAATGTAAGACGTTCTTATAAGAGTGGCCGTCTTTTTTTATTGTTATTCAGCTCTGTTAAAACAAATGCTGGGTGATAAAGAAATGCCTGGCAGTCTAGTTAACTACAGCAGATCTATGTGAAATCTTCTACATTCATTTAGCACTTTTCCCGCTTGTGTTTTTCTGGTGACAACTGGATGAGTTGTAATTAGAATGATGCAATTTCAGCCTTCTGCTCATTAAAAAAAAGTCAGTCTATGTAGAGCTTTCTCTGGCTGCCTGGGACAAAGTAGTTAAGAATCAGCATTAACACTAAAGGAGCCCAGGGGTAAATGGCAGGGGTTTGTGGGTATGTGCAGCGGACGGCACTCGCTGAGGTTGTTCACAGGAAAAGGTGGCTGGAAGCAGCAACCAGTGTCTCAAACTTTCATAAGATTTTCACAAGGAGCCCAAATCTAGTTTGGCAATGACACGGACATGGAATAAGATGTGAGTTAGGATAGAATAGGGGTACAACTGGTCTGCATCCTACCTAGGGAGACACACTGGATCTCGCCTTTAAGCCACTGATGGAATTTGGACCTCAGGGAAAAATGAAGTACCCCTGGGATAGATAATGGAAAACTAGAAACTAGAAACTCGATATAGATCATAGGGCTGTGGCTCCTTTGAATAAATATCCGTACACAGGACATAAATCAGAAATATGATCATAAAAAAGGCAAAATGACTCAATATAAATGGATGACTATAGTTTTTAATTACAGTTTTGCTGGTGTTATAATTGCAGTTGCATTGCTATTTATCGCTGTTTACATAAATTCGTCTGCTTAAGTTTTCCAGCCACATAAACACAGGCAGACACACACGCAAGCCGGCTTACCGCCATGAACTCGGAGCTGGATCCTACGTACTGCCTGAAGCAGAGCAAAAAGTTCTCTTCTGTGGGCAGAATCTGGGCCAGCTGGGAATGAAAGGAATAGGGGATGAATGGAAGAAGGAGGCTCATATTTTCCCACAATAGCAGCATCAATATTGCCACTTTGGGACTCTACAGAGTATGAGGAGTAATGAAGGTTTAGAAGGACCTCATGATTTGGGTCGATGACTCATCCTTTAAACATTTTCCCAAAGAGACGCTAGTTTTCTGTGATAAGCAGGTGAAGCCCTTTGCTGACTGAACCAAAACTTATTTAATGTGCATTCCCATGCTAGCCGGTGCGCACTCAAGCATTCCAGCCTTGAGTTCATGCTACACACTACCAGATTACACCAACATCCAGATGGACAAACACTTTACTTTAAGGTCATAATGGTGGTAACCCTCAGGAATGGCTCTTTGTGTCATGTATGGACAGGACTATCCAGTGCCATGATGATCGTTACTGAATGTCTGCATCCCAACATATATGGTAATACGCCTGCATTTCTGAATCTGTTATCATGCGTACAACAGCAGAGCAAGCAAAATATTATCAGCACAGCCTCAGCGCAAGAAAAAGCACAAGAATAAATGTGCGACGAGGGGGTGCAGTATTAAAGCACAGTTAGAAAAACATGTTATAGACTGCAGTATTAAATCACTTAACGAAGAGCATGGTGATGACGACAATATTAAATTACAGTCAAAAGAATATGGTGATCCCTGCAGTGTTAAATCACAGTAAGATGAGATGGTGTTGAATGCAGTGTTAAATCACTATTAGAGTAGTGTAGTGATCCCTGCAGTGTTAAATCACAGTAAAATGAGCATGGTGATGAATGCAGTACTGAATCACAATTAGACCAGTATAGTGATGCCTGCAGTGTTAAATCACAGTAAGTTGAGTATGGTGATGAATGCAGTATTAAATTACAATTAGAGCAGTGTGGTAATGCCTGCAGTGTTAAATCACAGTTAGAAGTTTGCAGAGACGTCCACTGTGTTGCACAGTTAAGAGTTCTTGCAGTATGTCCAGCTGTTAGTATAGGATGTTTTGTCTTCCACTTCATATTACTGTTAAAAAAATCCGTAGTTCTGCGGTGATGTTCTTTCACATTATTTAATTTGTTTAATAACATGTATGTCTTAAATAAAAATCATGAATTGTCAAACATACCTCTGACATCTCAATTTTCCCATCGGCGTTCTTGTCAAATTTTTGCATGAATTCTTTCATCTTTTCTCTGAAACTGGTATTACTGGGGTCCTGTCAAGCGAGTAAACATGTGGTTACCTCAGTTTAAACATAATAAGGAGGCATCGTAACATCTGAAAGGCCGACTTAGCTGTCAGAATGTGAAGGTCAAATATCTCAGCATTTTTCTTGCATGGTGCTTCAAAAGGACCTTTCTATGATGGACCTGGCGATACCTGCCCCCTCCGTGATGGGCACTGCCCTCACACTCACCATGCGTGCCCCCTCCGTGCTGGGCACAGCCCTCACACTCACCATGCGTGCCCCCTCCGTGCTGGGCACAGCCCTCACACTCACCATGCGTGCCCCCTCCGTGCTGGGCACAGCCCTCACACTCACCATGCCTGCCCCTTTCCGTGCTATCTCCAGCTGGCTGATGAAGTTCTCCAGCTCCTTACCCTCAATGTAGCCATTTCCTGCAACAAAAAGGAGCCACATGGGATTCACATTTCAGTGCAGCACTCAGGAATATTGTGCTGAAACTAGGCTTAGAGTTCAGCCATGGCAGTTTCTTTATATTTAATTTTCATGTGTGTGTGTGGATTATGTTTATATTACATTGTGGGGACCAAATGTTCCCACAATGTAATAAAAAATTGTTATTTTGACTTTGTGGGGACCATTTATCAGGTTCCTACAAAGATCTGTGACTGCAATCAGAAAGCTAAAAATAGCTAGATGATTATTTTTGAAAATATTGTCATTTTACTTTAGTATTTTTTGCAGACCATCATCCATCCATCCATCCATCCATCCATCCAGGCAATAACCCAGAATGGGGCACCAACCCATCACAAGTGCCCTTGATTGCCATGAATGGGAAGTAGAAATATGAAAGAGTACAAACCATCTGTGACTTGGAGTCAAAGACGGCAGTGGTATGGAGGGGAAGGATAAGATGATGCACTGGAGTGCAAGCGATGGAACAGGTTTCCATAATGTTCATTATACCACCACACTGTAAAAACATCCACCACAGGCACAGGTGACACTCTGGCCACATTACCGTCACCTGGTCATATACCCCTTTTTTTTGCAAATGCAACCTTGGACCATGTGATCACACCATGTTGTTGGGAGAATAAGAAATAGTAACCATCCCACCGTTATGTTTATGGGAGTACTAGTATCCTAAATAACTCATATCTGTTCCTAGAAGAGGCCAGCAGGTGGCAGGATGGTTGAAACTGCTAATTCGACCCCTGAACTGTTCCACCTGTATAAAGGGATGAAAACTGCATGTTGATTTGGACAAATGCCTTTTGTATTTATGTCGAGGGGGAAATAGCAGTTTAGCTTCACGGTTTTCTCTTGTCAAACCTACGCGCTCGCAGACTGATCGGCTGGCTGCGATGCGACTGCAGGGAACAGCTCAATTAAAATGTGGGATGGCATGCAGCACATGAGGCTGGGGGGGGGGGGTGTTTACTGCCTGCCGCCCTAACAGTTCATTTGGAGAAGACAAAAGAGGGAAATCTTTGGGGAGACAGAAAGGGCCCATGTCTGGTGATCTTTCTGGTGATCTGCCGATGTTCATTTCCATCACCCAAAACCATCCAGAGCCTAGAAATGAATGAATGACTTCCACCATATTTCTGTTGGGAGTCTGCTTTTAAAAGGCATTCACTTTAAAGGAGATGACAAGTGTGTGTACGTGGGAGGGGCTGCAGAAGATCTCACTTTCTGTGTCTATTTTTACAGGTTGTTTATTTGTACCCATTTGGTTCTTACAGTATAACCAGTAAATAAAAAACAACAAAAAATAATTGGTAAGTCGTTCCGCCACTATGAAAATAAAGGTATACATCACACAACTGACCTCATACTGTCATTAAGCCAGACAACAATGACATAGGGCTTGCAGACACTTTACAATGCTGGCATGTATTCAGCGATTCTTGCCGTAATCAATATTCTGATAATCCATTTGGTCATTATGGCAGAGTAACCTATGGTCACATAACACAACCAGGAAGAGAACCGGAGTAGAAAAGCATCTTTGAGCCAGCGGTGAAATATTCAGATAAATGATATTAACAATTATTATGAATGCCCAGTCTCCCCAAAATATATTATGCTATACTGTATGTAGAAGTATAACATGTCATAATATACTGCATATTTAGTCCATAGGAAACTACCCAATAAACCTGGCGGTGTTAATTTGGCATTGAGGGTGTTAATGTAACACAGTTCGGGCCGGCACCGTTAGCGTTAGATCGATAGAGTCAGATTTGCGCCAAAGGCCTTGTTAGTATTCTGGGGCATGCGGCAGGACCAAGGAGGGAGGAAATCCACGAGCCGATAGCATAGAACCGTCACAGTCAAATCTGCACTTAAAATGATGATTCTTCAGTAGTGCTAAATCGGCTTGTTTCAAAAGAAATGGGAGACATCTTTTAGAAAACAAGTAAACAGACATATGGATAGGAACCCCACTCCCCAGGATAGCTCGGATTCCGCTGGTATTACCTGAAAAAATAGGCACATAAACGACCGTGAGACGCCTTCTAATGCAGAACTATTTTCAGCATTATCATGTGGTTTAAACGTCAGGCTCGATTTACTCATGATGAAACAAGCATCGCTGCAGCAATGGAAAGAAAACACCGAAGGGACGTGCAGCCCGTTTAATTACAGTATAACGTACGTGCTAAAGGAAAATGGCGAAATAAGGTAAAATAGCCTAATTGGACATTATTTCTAAGGGTACTCCACGAATGAGAAATATGACTGTTCGGTTTAATTTGAGAAAATAATCTCATTTTCCTTATTTTAAAATCGATGTGCATCCCGTTACACTGAACGCTGTGCACATTGTCACCATAATTCGCCAAGTCCATTTGGATATACCACTGCTTAAGCAAATTATTACTATTCAACCGGATAATTTGCGTGGCACCCATGTTACGCATCATTAAATAAAATTAAACCCGCATTCCTTGGTTCAGTGCTCTGTTTCATAAAGGGACTGGCCGTTTTCGAGAAATACGTCTCATCAAGAAACACTTCTTACATGATCATAGATAGATAGACATACATTTTGTGGGGATGGGAGGTTGTGACCCCTCCAATAATCAAAATCAGCCAATACAACCCCCTGGACCCTCTTAAATGGGTGGGGAACTCAACCCCCCACAATGCTCAACCCTACATTGTGCCGAGATAGATAGATAGATAGATAGATAGATAGATAGATAGATAGATAGATAGATTTGAATTAAGCCCACCCCATATCAAAATCTCGCCTACGCCTGCTCCTAGTATATCATGCTAATAATAATATAACGCTGGGTACCCGCGCTTCTATAATATCATTCATGTTTTGTATTAGGTGCACTTGTGTGATAAGCATTCAATTGATTGCATCAACCTTGAATATCCTTCTTACGCTTAGCGCCCAAAGCGCTTTCAGGATAATTGAGTACTTTCTCAGACCCACGTGTGTAAAAAAAGATAATCGGCAGGTATGAGCTGTGTGCAGTAGAAGCGACGCCAGAAAGCGCGCAGCCAGCCGCGCTGCACGGGAGCGTCTGCGCACCGCTGTCCGTCCGTCCGCTCCGCTAGGGGAGTCCCGCTGCTCTCTAGTGGGGATGCTTGTTTTTCCCCAGCATAGAGTCGTCGGCGCACTGATCATGGATAAAATAACCAGTAATGTTATCTTCACCTTGCTCGTGAGTGTTATTTTACGTGGTTTGTCTGTCTATCTATCTATCTATCTATCTATCTATCTATCTATCTATCTATCTATACAGCTGGATATTCTCTTAAACTATCGAAATTAACCTTCTTAAACCGTGCCACCTCCAGTACACGGCTGAAACTTAAAACTTATAGTTGGTAAACCAGTAACGGCGGACAGACTTCCTACATCTCAGATTCTTATCAGAAGTGGTTCACAAATGAGAAGCAACCTTAAGCACATAAGCTGTGTGGGGGCGCCGACATGCAGACGATGCAGCTGCATATGACAGTCAAAGTATTCGAACCCGGCCCAGTTCTGCATGTGCGGCGTTATAGGTGAAATGTGTCATTTTCATACGTTATTCACATAATGTAAACTATTGTATTATGAGCAACTCAGATCGTAACAATGCGACTTGTTCGAATAAACATATTGTAAGCGGTGTGGGTATTTTCCCTAACTGGAAATCTGAGGATAATAAATGAAGAAACTGACAGTAAGAACCTGCAAGGTGTTGCTGATACCCGCAAAGAATACGTGGATATTAGTGTCGTGAGAGACAGGTCAGGAGCAAGACTCCGAATAAAACAAATTTACGTATGAAGTGCCCATTATGTAGATTCCCTGATGTAAGGACGCACACACAACCTATCTGAGGTTTACTGCGGTTTAAGAATTTAAAAATATCTTTCTTCTAGATTGTTGTATACGCAATGTGGCTTATGTACTATAAATCTATTTCACAAACACTGACAGTTATGTATATATTGATAATGTATATATTGCATTATTACACATTTCTAGCGATTCAATTTCAAGTCAAATGATGATGATGATGATTATTATTATTATTATCATCATTACTATTATTATTATGCTCGAGGTTGTTTAAAAAGCTCCAAGGTAAAGAAATTACCACTTAAGGCAGTTAAATCGATCATGTTTACCATTTCCCCCATAAAATAATTTCGCAGTTATTCTCAGTACTAATGAGCATCCATCTTCTGTGCATTTCAAACAACTTTCGTTCCAGTGAAAGTTAACTTGCATGAAAAATAAAATTCTTTACGTCGCGGTACTGACCATCACTGTCGAAGTGTCTCCAGATTTCGAGGAACTGGGACGCCGTGAGCTCTGCCAGATGGAGGTAGGGAGCCTGCGCCTTGTTGGCCATGATTTCTGCTCTGTGCGCTTTGAAATCCCGCGCGAACTTTTACACAATTAGATTCCGATACTCACTGTGCTTGACTCTCCCTCAGTCGTCGCTTTTAAACCCCCCGTCATCGTGTGATACTCAGAATGTCCTGAGGGAGGCGCAACGGCTCCAAGATCGCTGTGATTCACCATTTTCTGCGCACGTCAGTGTATCAGGGTCTCCGTATCATTCGCCCCAGCGTCATCATTCTGATAGTAGTGTGTTCGTGGTAATGCATGCGGGTCCATCCAATGCATTCGAAGCATCGAATTTTAAAATTATTGTAATTCTAGAAATGATTTTTTTGCACAAAATTTTACCTCCATAAGCAGGAAATTACACTTTCATTTTAAAATATCGTATTATTCGCATACAGATATATACTGAGCTACACGTTAAAGCATACAAATATAGCTTTCTTGTATGTTTGCTCGTGGAGAGAGACCGCTGTTGTGCTTGCGTCATGTTTCACCTAAACTGTGAACTTCTCAGAAAGTTCACTCACTGGTCACTGATAGAAATCGACCAATTTTCCTTGTACTCCCAGGAAATTCATGTTTACTTCTGCAATCGACCGGCTCGTTTAAGAAAACCGGAGTCAAGGGGATTTGAATGCATGGCAGCGCAGTGCCGCCCAACAGGGAAAGCAGAGCAATAATTGTGCTTGAAATAAGTTCTTTCAAAGGGTAGTTAAATGAGTTTCCCCCTTGTGACTGGGATAAAGGCCAGATTAATTTGGAAGCCACACACTAATCACACCTTGCACAATTACCGAGAGCCAGACTTGAATAGTGTATTTCTTTTTCAGAATATCAGATAAGGTCCATCCGTTTGAAATAACCTTTTGAGCTTCTCAGGTTTGGACGGTGAAAAGATTCACGTGACACAGGGATTTTACAGCAAGGGCCAAGTTTATTATAGAATTCTGGCTCCTCCAGGGAGAGAGGAAGATGGGCCTGGACTAAACCAGCACATGACAACACAAAAATCGAAACACAGGACCAAGACACCAAAGGAGATTCTGGGTCTTGGGACAGATATTATCCTGGGTTCTAAGTGAGGGCGGAACAAAGCAGAACTAACTACATCTTAAAACATCGAGGGGTCAATGGAACTCATCAAGATGAAAAAAAACAGCCACTTCCTCGACTTGCTTTTCCTAAATCACCAGTGGCCACTCCCAGCCCCTCGCTGGTAATCTCTCAATTGTTGAAAATAAACTGTATTTTAGCAGGTGGGCAGATAGTAATGTTGTTTATTACTGCATTCTTTTCTTTTTTCTTTTTTTTTTATAAAATTGCATTTGATGTTAAATTTTGGAATTGATATAGCTGCTTCTGTAATCAATTTATATGTTATGGTTGCCACTGTGTTTACATTTAGCATGAAGACAAATATATGAATCTGAACGTTTTAAGAAGAACTGAGACAAACCTCCCACATCAAACACAGAGCAGAATATATAGATATATAGGTAATACGCTGAAATATGAGCCTCATTGTGCACATACTTTTTATTCTTCACAACCTATCCTGCAGTAATTGTTGTTTGTATTTTCTTTCCAGTAAAGCAGACTCCTATGAGTATACAGTGGGCAGAGCCCCAGTGCATGCTGGGTAGGCATTCATGTGGGGAGAGGGGACTATGGATCAGCTCCTCCCTGGACTGCAATTAGCAACTGCAATAATTCCCTCTGGAGTCTCTCTTGTTTATTTCAAACTTACGCCAGTTAACCTGCATGAAGAGACACCTGTATGCATGTATTCTGTCATGCCTTTCTGGGGAAAGTGGATTGGGGTTATATGATTGAGGGCTTTTTCCTATTACCTACAAGATTACCATTGGCACTTTGGTCCCAGATAAACCTTTTGGGGTGATCTCATGCCAGATGGCTGTATCACCGTCACCTCAGCCACCATTTGTTGGGCCTCGGTTCCTGGCTCGTCACTGAGGGTGCTGACAGGTCCATTTGGGAGCAGAAAGCCCAACAAATGCTCAGTAAGGACGTCAGGGACCATCTCCTCAGTGTCTCTGTGCTGCACCATCGTTACGGTTGTCATGGTTGGAAGTGGTGATACATATGCAAACTTGGTTTTAATGGAGGAGGGAGGCTTTATTACAAAGAGAACACACAATAACAGAACCCAAGAGAACCTTGAGGGGTCAAACAAGAGGGAAGGAGGAAGAAATAGAGTAGACCTGAACTAACCTACGATTCGGGAAACAGGTAAGGTACTTATAAGACCTAAATACAGCTACAATGACTGTACTGGGGAGGCGGACAAGGGCAGGGACATATATACACAGACAGTGAGTAACAAATGAGAGACAGGTGCAAATAATTGACACAGTAACTGGAAAACAATCAGGTGATTAGAGGACGACCTCTGCTGGCCAAATGGAGACATGACAGGCTGACGAGACAGGCGCTTTTAACTGCCTAGGTTTGTTGGCTGAGCAGGGTGTGGTAGCTAATTGATCTGAAACAAGAACCACCTCTGTGCTCTGAGGCATTGATCCACAGACAGTCTGTTCGCTTACAGAAATTTCTTCTTGCCATTTTTTGCTTCTTTTTATCTTTCTATTTTAAAATACCACTGAAGTTTTTGTCAAGATTCAATACATTAGAGTTAAATTAATTAGCATTTTTAGTGATATCTAATCACAAATAATGTTTACAGTAAACCCTCCGGTTTACAAATGTCATAGGAGTATTTTTACTAAAAAGGGAAATTAAACCTTTCTACAAAGTATATTTTCTCACTAAGCTCTGTGGTAAAATAGACAGTTTTTCATTCCCTGAAGTGTCACCATTGTTAAATTATGCTCAGACCTGAATAATGGAATGCTACTCATCTAAAATGGCTATTGGAAAAGAATTGACTGCTGGTGATGTAATGAGTGATGCTGGTGATGTAATGAGTGATGCTGGTGATGTAATGAGTGATGCTGGTGATGTAATGAGTGATGTATTTACTATAAGATTAAAGGATAGTTAAACACAGTGGAGCACTACTACAGGTGTGGGGAAAGTGGGACACACACAGGTGTATGACAGAGAGGGGGAAGAGTGGAGTCAATAGCTTGTACTTGTGACACCGGGGATTTAATGTAGCAGGTGCTACGAAGGAGCTAGATTATTTAGAGTAGATGCTTTAACTTAACTAGCTATTGTTAGGATGAATTTGATAAAGCAAGCAACGTGTGGGCTTATGTGCGAAAGTAGAAGACCAAGGCGGAAAAAACTGCAGAGAATGGCATTCTTCAAACCTTTGCATTGTAAATAAATGAATAGAAGCAGCATGGAAAATACACTCTTTTATGGATATGAAATGAAACAGTGACTATCATGTTAAACTATCAATTGATAACTATAGTTCTTCAATTTAATTAAACTGTATAGATGTTACAGTCTTTGTAAAACACATAACTCGAGGTCTCAAGGAAATTGTTCCGTCATCATTGTATTCTCATGTTATCGAGAAAACCCCTCTGCTATGATGAGAAAACGGTATTAAAAAATGATGATATATCATTGTCTTTCTCAGCTTTGGTAATTCACAGATTTTACACACATTCTGGAAGGAAAAAAGAAGCCAGTTTTTTGGGGGTGCTGTGGTCATCGTAGGAGGGGTTAGAGCACCCCTAAACTCTTCCCTGGCACAGCCACTGAGGGCTTGTATCTTCAAGCATGCCATTGTGGGCATCTATCAGGCAATTTAAGGGGCTCACAGCTGTGCTAAGATCGACTGGCAGGTACATGGGAATGGGACTGTTCCTGCCAGGATTGTTACCTGTTCTGCCACCCTCTGTATGTCAGTTTCCCATCTGGCCAACAGGTGTCGCTGACCATTCCATTATTCTTAGCTCCTAGAGCAGGGGTGGCCAATCTTATCATCAAAGGGCTGCTGTATATGCAGGTTTTCACTGCAGTTCCCTCATTAGATTACTAATTAGAGGACTGATTGGATGAAGAGTCCTCACACCTGGGTTTGAACAGCTGACCTAAAGGTTATCCCAAAATGTTGATACAGGGCCGACCTGTTATGCCTGAAACACTACAAATAAAACGTTCGTATTCGAAGAACTAGAAAGATCAGACTGTTAATGTTTTATTAAACAGATACAATTTTATGTGAATTTAATATGATTAAAAAAACACATTTTTAAATATTTCAGTTTTAAGTTTTACTCTCAACACAGAATTTGTGCTTGAAACCTTCGGATCCAAGTCGATCTTCCCCACATGGTAAGAAATGTTGGCACTTTAGGCAAAATGTACGGTAACAACTTTATCATGGAAGAAATTTTCGCATACAATACTGTGCAAAAAAAGTCTTAGGGAGTCAAAGACAATGTTTAAAGCTGGGTAGTAAATGTATATTTGCTCAGAAATAAAACAATTCAACATATAAGATAATAAAACATAACAAGAATTTCTTCCGTTCTCCAAATGTCACTGATATTTTGTTGTATAGTTAGATGGACACTGACCTGGGTTCC